TGCATCAATAAATAAAACAGGACTGTCATATCCTGCCAAGACAGGGTAAGATAGTTTTGAAAAGTTGCTTGCCTTTGAAAATGGTATGTCAGTTATGTTAGGCCTTAGCCAAAGTTGGTTGCTTCAACGCTGCAAACATGACTTTGGGTGATTGCCCAGGTAGCTAGTTGTCTCTGTGATTTGTTGCATGTTTTGGAAGTTGTTTTACTGAACTTCCTAATTACCCAGGTAACATTATTTCCCTTCTCAGATCTTCGATGGGGTTGAAGACTATATAAATGTAGTTACTTTTCTCTCACGACTTGGCCAAGTTATTTATTATACAAGACCTAAGCTAGTTAGAATAGGATATTTGTACTTATTGTATATAATTTCGTAGTAGGTTTAGAACTCTCTTACTTAAACAAAAGAGGGAGGTGTTGCGAGAGGTCCTTCCACCCCTCCAACCAATAGCTGCTGTGATACCAGCCCATTAGGGCGTGGTCTCTTTCCCTTTAAAAAAGCGGCTACTTCCTCTGCTCTCTCTCTTCACTTCCTGCTCCACCGGACACTAGACTCCCTTCCTTGTTGTGCAGATGGCTGTTGTCTGGGATGGTGATCTGTAAGTTTTTTCCCCTTTAAATAAATAACACCCTATTAATCATAACTCCAAACTGGTGTGGCATTGTTCGTGACTTACGCCTTCACCACATGGCACCACTGGTGACAAACACCAGAACTTCATCACAGCCTCGTGGTGATACACAGATTAATGGAAGTGGGTTAAATTAAGATATAAAAGTTAGCTAATAAGAAGTTAGAGCTAATGGATAAAGCAGTAATTTAACTAATATAGTTTCTGTGTGGTTATTTCATGGCTGGGCTTCTGGGCAGCCAGGAAACAAACAAGCGGCCTCCAACTACATCACAGGGTATATCAAAAGCTGATATACTATCAGTAGAGATAGAGTAAATAAAATGTTAGTATTTCCCTTCAGAGATGATAGCATATTATAAACAGAACCCAAATTTTTAAAGAAAATTAAGTTCAGCATTCTTTTGAATGTAAACTAAATGTTTTGCTTATATAACTTTATGAAAACAAAAGGATATTACAGAGTAAAAACTCAACTGACCACTCTCTATAAGATCAGTAGGTTAAACTTATGAACAGACACAATTCTTAGAGAAAATTACTGTCCTTTCCCCACCCTTTCTACGTGTAGAGAAATGCAAATTCTGCCTAATTTACTATATGTTCTATAACAAATCCACAAAAAATTCAATGTAGCAAGAAAACCAAGAGAAGGAAAAGTAGTGTATTTAAACCTATACTTTCTTACCCATATGTTGCTGAAGAGCCCAAGAAGAGTTTGCACGAGCAGAGATCATCTTTTCAACAGGTGGTGGAAGTCTCTTCCAATTAGAAAATTCCAAAGTAAAAATAAGGACATCATTGCTGACTGAGTTAACCCTGTATGAACGACATGTTAACAGGCCATCAACAGCAAAATATTAACATATTTAGGGCTAGTACTAAAAGCAAATATCACATTCCATTCATACAAGAACTTGATGATGGGACTCCTAGGAGAGAGGGCTGAAGAAAACAAGCTCCACTAGGAGCAGAAGGAAAGAGCAAATCCAGTCCTGGGACACTGGCAGACCAGAATTGAGCCAATGAACTGACTCAGAGTCTGCAATCTCCACCAGAACCGGAGTGGGACTGAACCAGTTACCTAAGACAGAAAAAACCAAGCTACACCAAGAAGAAGAAGCCAGGAGCAGACAAAGTCCTGGGACATGGGGAGAACAGGACATAGCCAGCGACCAGATCCAGACTCAACAATCTCCACCACAAAAGGCCCAACTGCAAGCCAGGGACTTCTGCAGGAGGATATCCAGACCAAGATGTACAGAAACAGAACAAAGCCAGCAGCCTAAGCCAAAGTAGGCCTGAGACAGCAAACTCCAAGGGAGCAGAGCCAAGCACAGGAGCACTGAGCTACCTCCAGGAACAGGAGTAACCAACAGGAAAACTAGAACTGTGACATTGACTGTACCATGAGGAACAACCATCTGAACTTGGGATTCACTGACACCTAGAAGATTATTCAATAGAATCTCAAACAGCCCCAACCACACATATTAGAGGAAAATATGAGTAGAAATGGTAAGATCACATGCTACAAAAAAAAAAAAAAAAAAAACACACATGCTACACCACAAAGAGCAACGCAATACCAGTAAATGGATTTAAAGACATCTATAGAATATTCCATCCAAACAGAAAAGAATATACCTTCTTCTCAGCACCTCATGGAACCTCAAAAATTGACCACATACTTGGTAACAAAGCAAACCTCCAAAATACAAAAAAAAAATTGGAATAACCCAATGCACCTTATCAGATCACCATGGTTTAAAACTAGAAGTCAACAGCAATACTAATTCCAGAAAACCCACAAACACATGGAAAGTAAACAGTGCTCACCTGAATCATCAATGGGTCAAGGAAGAAATAAAGGGGGAAAGTAAAGACTTCCTAAAATTCAATGAAAATGACCACACAACATACCCAAATTTATAGGACACAATGAAAGCAGTGTTAAGAGCCAAGTTCATAGCACTAAATGCCTACATAAAGAAGCTGAAAAAAAAAATCCCACACTACTGAATTAACAAAACATTTGAAAACTTTAGAACAAAAAGAAGCAAACTCACCTAAGAGACCTACATGGCAGGAAATAAAGTGAGACTTGAAATCAACAAAAGAGAAACAATACAAAGAATCAATGAGACAAAGAGCTGGTTCTTCAAGAAAATCAACAAAATAGACAAACCTTATTCCAAACTAACCAAAAAAGCAGAGAGAGAATATCCAAATTAACAAAATCAGAAATTTAAAAGGTGAACATAACAACAGACATGGAGGAAATACAGAGGATCATCAGGTCATATTTTGAAAACCTGTACTCCAAAAAAATTGGAAAACTTAAAGGAAATGGACAACTTTCTGGATAACTATCACTTACCAAAATTAAATCAAGACCAGATAAGCAAATTAAACAGACCTATAACTGCTGAAGAAATAGAAACAGCCATCAAAAGTTTCCCAACCAAAAAAAGCCTAGGACCATATGGTTTCAGCTCAGAATTCTACAAGACTTTCAAGGAAGAACTAATACCAATACTCCTCAAATTATTACACACAATAGAAACAAAGGGAACACTGACAAACTCTTTTTATGAGGTTACAATTACCCTGATACCCAAATCACAGAAAGAGAATACTAAGAAAGAAAATTACAGACCAATCTCACTCATAAACATTGATGCAGAAATACTAAATAAAATAATGGCAAATCGAACCCAAGAACACAGCAGAACCATCATCCACCATGACCAAGTTGGCTTCATCCCACAGATGCAGGGATGGTTTAACATATAAAAAATCTGTCAACATAATCCACCACATAAACAAGCTGAAACATAAAAACCACATGATCATCTCATCAGATGCCGAAAAAGCATTTGACAAAATACAACATCCCTTCATGATAAACGTCTTGGAGGTAACAGGGATACAAGGAACATACCTAAACATAATTGAGGTAATATACAGCAAGCCAACAGCCAACATCAAACTAAACAGAGAGAAACTCACAGCAATTCCACTGAAATCAGGAATAAGACCAGGTTGTCCACTCTATCCATATCTATTCAATATACTTCTTGAGGTCCTAGCTAGAGCAATAAGGCACCAAAAGGAGATCAAGGGGATACAAATTGGAAAAGAAGAAGTCAAACTCTCACTGTTTGCTGATGATATGATAGTTTACATTAGTGATCCCAAAAATTCTACCAAGGAACTTCTACAACTCATAAACACTTTCAGCAATGTAGCAGGATACAAGATTAACTAAAAAAAAAAATCAGCAGCTCTCCTGTACACAGATGATAAAAGGGCTGGGGAAGAAATCAGAGAATCAACACCTTTCACAATAGCCACAAATAGCATAAAATATCTCAGAATAACTCTAACCAAACAAGTGGAAGACTTGTATGATAAGAACTTTAAATCTTTGAAGAAAAAAATTGAAGAAGACACTGAAAAGTGGAAAGATCTCCCATGCTCTTGGGTAGGTAGAATTAATATGGGGGAAATGGCAATCTTACTAAAAGCAATCTACAGATTCAACGCAATGTCCATCAAAATCCCAGCAAAATTCTTCAAAGATGTTAAAAGAATGGTACTCACCTTCATTTGGAAGAGCAAAAAAAAAAAAAAAAACCCAGGATAGCCAAAACATCCTATGTAACAAAAGAACTTCTGGAGGTATCACAGTCCCTGACTTAAAACTCTACTACTGAGCTACAGTACTGAAAACAGCCTGGCATATGCATAAGAAAAGACAGGAGGACCAATGGAACCAAATAGAAGACCTGGTTATTATTGCACACATCTTCGAACACCTAATCTTTGATAAAGAAGCAAACAATATCAAATGGAAAAAAGAAAGCGACGCGCACGGCACGAGCGGCGGCCGGAACCGGACGCGCACAGCACCAGCGGTGGCGCACGGCACCAGCGGTGTCGCACGGCACCAGCGGCGGCCGGAACCGGACTCGCACGGACCAGCGGCGGCCGGAACCGGATGCGCACGGCGGGCGACATAGCTGGCGCAGCGGCCGGGACCGGAGGGTACTGACACAGTGGCAGACAACGCAGGCGACAGGGACCAGTGCAACACCAAGAGCAGATCGCCCCAGGACAATTAAATCAAAGAGGTAGGCCTTTGGTTGGCGAGGTCCCGGGCAAACAGGGAACCTGGTTCTTTTCCTGAAGACCCGTCTGAGGGGTGAGAGGGATCTTGGCCCCTGGCAGGAGCCAGGAAACAGAACGAGGGAATTTTGCAAGAGGAGCCTCTGGCCAGCAGGGAAACCTGATCTGGTTTTAAAAGACCAATTAGAGATCGTCAATAGGAGGAGATGGGCAGGCGCCAAGGCAAAAATTCTCCCAATAAGCTGAAAAACAACATGAAAGCACCAGAACCCAATGATCTTACAACAGAAGGACTTGAACACCCTAACACAGAAGAAGTGGAAAAAATCGACTTTATGAAAGCAATAGAGTCCCTTAAACAATATGTAAAAAACACCTTTATAGAAATGGATGAGAAGTATAACAAAAAGTTTGAAGAATTGAGTAAATACGTACATGAGACCCTGGGAAACCAAGAAAAAATGAACAAACAGGTAATGGAAACAGTTCAAGAATTGAAAACTGAAATGGAAGCAAGGAAGAAAGCACAAACTGGGGACCAGCTGGATACGGAAAATCTAGGTCAACGAGCAGAGCCTACAGAAACAAGCATAATCAATAGAATACAAGAAATAGAAGAAAGAATCTCAGATTCTGAAGACACCATAGAGAAAATAAACGCACTGATCAAAGAAAACAGCAAAGCCAACAAATTCTCATCACAAAACATTCAGGAAATATGGGACACAATAAAAAGACCAAACCTGAGAATAATAGGAATAGAAGAAGGGGAAGAATTACAGCTAAAAGGCCCAGAAAATATATTTAACAAAATCATGGAAGAAAACTTTCCCAACATAAAGAAAGATATTCCTTTGAATATCCAAGAAGCATACAGAACACCAAACAGACTGGATCAAAGAAAAGCATCCCCTCGCCATATAATAATCAAAACACAAAATATACAGGTTAAAGAAAGAATATTAAGAGCTGCAAAGGAAAAAGGCCAAGTAACTTATAAAGGTAAACCGATCAGACTTACACCTGACTTCTCTATGGAAACCATGAAAGCCAGAAGGTCCTGGATAGAGGTTCTTCAAAAACTAAGAGACCATGGATGCAAACCCAAACTTCTATACCCAGCCAAGCTAGTATTCACTATCAATGGAGAAAACAAGACATTCCAGGATAAGAACAAATTTAAACAATACGTAGCCACAAATCCAGCGCTACAGAAAGTAATAGAAGGAAAATCGCAACCCAAGGAATCCAACATTGCCAACACTGACTACAATAACTCAGGAATCTAGCGAACCTTCACCAGTACAACTCAAAGAAGGGACACACACAAACTCTACTACCGAAAACAGTAAGAATAACCGGAGTAAACAACCACTGGTCACTAATATCACTTAATATTAATGGTCTCAATTCACCTATAAAAAGGCACAGGCTAAGGGATTGGATACGAAAACAGGATCCAACATTCTGCTGTTTGCAAGAAACACATCTCAACCACAAAGACAGGCATCTACTCAGAGTAAAAGGTTGGGAAAAGGTCTTTCAAGCAAATGGTCCTAACAAAAAAGCAGGTGTGGCCATACTAATTTCCAACAAAACTGACTTCAAACTAAAATCAATCAGAAGAGATCGAGATGGACACTTTATACTCATAACAGGAACAATTCATCAGGATGACATCTCAATCC